ACATAATGGGAGGAAATAATTGTAAACCATTATCTAGTAAGGTGGTATCCAAAATATTTAAGAAACTTCTACAACTCAACAGTAGGAAAAAACAAAGCAAAAAACTAACATCCTGATTTAAAAATAGGCAAAGGACTTGAATAGGCATACAAAGAAAACACACAAATACCCGATAGGTATCTAAAACGATGCTTGATATCACTAATCATCAGAGAAATGCAAATCAAAACTACAATGAGATATCCCCTCAGTTACCAACTAGAATAGCCGGTATCAAAAATATTAAATACATAACAAATGTTGGCAATAATTTGGAAAAATTGGGACCGTGGTGCACTGTTGGTGGGAATGAAAAAGTTGTGGTTGCTATGGAAAATAGTATGGAATTTCCTCAAAAATTAAAAATAGAACTATTGCATGAGCCAGAAATCGTACCTCTGGGTATTTGTACAAAGTAATTTAAATCAGGATGCCAAGGTGGTATCTATACTCTTGTGTTCACTACAGCATTATTAACAATAGCCAAGATGTGCAAAGCAATTTAAATGTCCATTGACAGATGAATGGATAAAGAAAATGTGGTGTATACATACAATGGAATATCCTTCAGCCTTATAAAGGAAGAAAATCATATCATATGCAACGTGGATTAAATGCTTGAACATTATACTAAGTAAAATAAACCAGTCCCAGAAAAACAAATACGACATGATTCCACTTATATGAGATAGCTAAAGTAGTCAAACTCATAGAAGCCCAAAAGTAGAATGTTGTTTGCCAGAGTCTGGGAGAGGGAGAAATGGGGAGTGGCTCTTCAACAAAAATAAAATTTCAGTTGTGCTATATGAAAAAATTCTGCTGCACATAATTGTGCTCATAAGTAATAATACAGGTAAGTGTACTATATACTTAAAATTTGTTAAGGGATTATATTTCATGCTATGCTTTTTACCACAGTTTAAGAAATAAACAAAAAACAACATCAAAAAGGAATCAGAAGTCAGAAGAGAAGGATGAGATTGCTAGGACACTTCACCCTTAGCTCTGTCCTAATCTTTGAATTGATATTTATCATTTATTATAAACAAAAAAAAGAGCAAAGAAAAATAAAAAAAGTACACTGAAAATTCTTTGAAAAATATACTCCAAATATTTAGGAAGGTGGAGGAAATATCAACATGATAAAGAAAGAAATAGGAAAAATATTTTTTAAAGGACACAAATAGAATTTCAAGGAATGAAAAAAAAAATCTGAAATAAAAAAATATATTGTGTGGAATTAATAACACCAGGAAAACTATCATTCAACTTGAATGTATAGTGACAGAAACCATCCAAAATGCAGCACAACTAGGAAAAAGAGAAAATGAACAGTACTCAGTGATGTTTGACAATATAGTACAAATGGAATCCAGGAGGAGAGGTTAGGGGACAAGACAAATATTTGAAAAAATAATTTCCAAAAATTGTTTCAAACTTTATGAAAAGGATAAACCCCCTGGTCAAAGTGGTCAGCAAACCATAAGCAGAATAAACACAGAGAAAATCACATTGAAGTACTTCCTAAATTACTGAACAACAGTGAAAATTTGAAAATCTCAAAAGCAGCCAAGGGGTGGTAGGCATACTAGGTACAGGGATACAAACATAAGGAAGACAATAGAAATCTTATTTTCATGAATAATACTATCAAAAAGCTTGACCTGATTGCTAATTATAGAATACTTGATCCAGCAAAACACATATTTTCAACAATACACAAAACATTTACTAAAATACAACACATTCTTCTGAGAGAGAGAGAGAGGCCAGCAGGCAGAGGGAGAACAAGAATCTTAAGCAGGCTCCATGCCTAGTACAGAGCCCAGAGCCCAACACAAGGCTCAACCTCACAGCCCTGAGATCATGACCTAAGCTGAAATCAAGCTGGACCACTTAACCGACTGTTCCACCCAGGTACCCTGACACAAAATATTCTAAGCCATAAAAGAATTCTCAATAAATTTCAAACTAAAAGTAATGTTCTTAGATACAGCAGAATTAAACTAGAAATCAGTAAGAAAGGTATTTGGAACATTTCTCCAATATTTAGAAATTAAATGACATAATTCTAAATAATCCACGAGTCAAAAAAGAAATCATAGGAGAAAATAAAATATATTTTGGAGAGACCTAATTTTTTTTAAAGTCTAACGGAAGTTGGCAGATGCTCTAAAAGCAATGATCAGAGGTAAAACTATTGCATTAAATGCTTATATTATTAGAAAAGAAGCTCTAAAATGGTAAAAAGCTTCTATTTAAAAAAATGGAAAGGGGAAACAAATTAAACCCAAAGTAAGCAGAAGAAAGAAAATAAAATAGCAGTAATTGATAAAAATTAAAAGACAGGAAAAAATAGAGAAAAATCACTGAAATCAAATGCTGGCTTGTAAAGATCGATAAATTCATAAACTTCTAGCCACATAAGGATAAGGAGAAAAAAGGCAAAAATCACAATATCAAGACTAAGAAGTGACATCATTATACATTCTACAGATGTTAAACATATAATTATTATGAAAACTTAATGACAGTAAATCTGACAGCTTAGATAAAACAGGAAAATTCCTTGGAAGACAAACTACCAGAGCTTAAACAAGAAGATACAGATAACCTGAATAATCCTATATAGCTACAAAATTAAATTTGTACTTAGAAACATCCCCACAGAGAAAACTTCAGATGACTTCACTGGTGATTTCTACCAAATGTTCAAGAAGGAAATAAAACCAAATCTGCAAAAACTCATTCCAAAAATAAAGAGGAGGTCATACTTCCCAACGCATTTGTGAAGTCAGCTTTTATAATGCTAATACCAAAATTAGACAAAATAATTACACGCAAAGACATCTATAGAGTAATATCAATCATGACCATAAATACAAAAATTTAATATTTAGCGTATCAAACTCATCAATGTACAAAAAGAGCATTTCATCCAAATGACCAAATGGGGTTTATCTAAGGAATGGTTTAACATTGAAAATCAATGTAGTTTGCCATAGAAACAAATTTTGAAAGAAAAGCCATATAATCATCTTAACAGAAAAGGCATTTGATAAAATCCACTACCTACCCAAATTTTTTAAAAAAATTCTCAGCAAACTAGGAACACAAGTTTCTCAAATGAAATACTCTCATCACTTAATGTTAACAGTTAATGTTACAGATTGAAAGTTGCCCCCCTAATATCAGAACAAGGCAAGTTCTATTCAACACTGTACTAGAAGATATGGTCAGTGCAATTAGGCAAGACAAAGGAAAAAAGATACTCATACTGGAAAGAAACTATTTACTGACAACATGACTGGATATATAGAAAATCCAATGGAATCTACAAATAAGCTACTAAAGCTAAGTAGCATGTTTATAAGGTGTAAACAGCAATTCTATACAAAAATCCATTTTATTTCGATCACTACCAACAAATAACTAGAAATTGAAATTTGAGAAACATCATGCATAATAACATTGAGAAATGTGAAATACTTAGGAATAGATCTGATAAGATGTACAATATATGCACACCCAAACCCACGAAACATTGTTAAAAAGAAATGATAAAATACTTAAATGGAGAGATGTACTACATTCGTGAATTAATATTGTGAAGATGTCAACTGTCCCTAAATTTATCTATATAATCAACTCAATCCTAAAACAAACAAACAAAAAAACCCAGCAAGCACTTTTAGAATCACAAAGTGATTCTAAAATTCATTTGGAAATACAAAAGACCTAATATGACCAAAATAACTTTAAGAACAAAGTTGAAGGACTAATACTATCCAATTTCAAGATATAATAAATCTACAGTAATTGAGACAATGTGATATTGATATAACACAGATAAGCTGATCAATGAAACAGAGGAAATAAACTGACAAATAAAAGTTCAACTAAGTTTTTTACCAAAGTACAAATAAAATTCTGTGGAGAAATAATGCTCTTTTTAACAAATTGTGTTTAAAAATTAGATATCCAGGGTGCCTGGGTGGTTCAGTCGTTAAGCATCTGCCTTCGGCTCAGGTCATGATCCCAGAGTCCTGGGATCGAGTCCCGCATCGGGCTCCCTGCTCTGTGGGAAGTCTGCTTCTCCCTCTGCCTCTCTCTCTCTCTCTCATGAATAAATAAATAAAATCTTTAAAAAAAAAATTAGATATCCATATGCAAAAAATTCACTTTGATACCTAGCACCAAATATAAAAAGTAACTCAAAATGGATCATAGACCTAAATGTAAAAATTAAAACTTTAAAAATGTTTTAACATAGGAGAAAATTTTTGTGACTTTGGTTTGCCAAAGATTTCTTGGATTCAACACCAAAAACATGATCCATAAAAGAAAAAAAGTAAGTTGTATTACTTTAGACAGCTACTTTTTTAATATGATAAATGTTAGGTTTTATTTAAAATCTACTCTAAGATTTCCTTCCATGAGGGGTGCCTGGGTGGCTCAGTCCTTTAAGTACCCAACTCTTGATTTCAGCTCAGGTCATGATCTCAGGGTGGTGAGGTAGAGCCCCATGTTGGGCTCTGTGCTGGGTGTAGAGCCTGCTAAAAATTCTCTCCCTCTCCCTTTGCCCCTCCCCTTCCATGTGCGCTTGCACAGACTCATGCACGCTCTCACACACAAAGTTATTTCCTTCCATGAAACAATCGATCAGCACAGAGAAGGCAAAGTGGATAAGTAAATATTTAATCTCTTTTCTAGATTATCTAGGTCCAAATTTCACAAATGATGAAACAGGTCTGCAATATGGTAATCAATAAGTGCTTTTTTTTTTTTTTTTTTAAGATTTTATTTATTTGACAGAGAGAGAGACAGCGAGAGAGGGAACACAAGCAGGGGGAGTGGGAGAGGGAGAAGCAGGCTTCCAGCGGAGCAGGGAGCCCGACGCGGGGCTCCATCCCAGGACCCCGGGATCATGACCTGAGCCAAAGGCAGACGCTTAACGACTGAGCCACCCAGACGCCCCGAAATCTGTAAGTTCTTAAGAGCCTAGCCTCGATTTAATCCTTTTATTCTTAACTAAAAATCTTTTAATTACCTCATTCTTTGTTACATAAACCCTTCCCATGAACCTCTCCAGAACTTCATCCAAGAGAGATATCACTAGACATCTGTACTTGCCTCAAATGACTTTCATTTTCACATGCTCTACATTCTATATTTATTATGAAAATGAATTCTATGGTTAAAGTCACAGAGTTGGACCTTCTAACTCTTTTAGATCAAACTCCAACTGTGTTGGTTAGTTCCAACCTTGTAAGAATGCAGACAATCTGCAGAGTCTTCTTATTTTGTCTGTTTTTATAAGGTCCTGGTAACTTGCCCATGTCCCTTGAAATCACTGACTCCACACACTTTAATTCTACCCAAATCTTTTTGTTCAGTTGCTTTCCCAATTCTGCTGAATCTACTATTAGCATTTTTTTAAATTTTTTTTAAACATATAATGTATTATTTGTGATACATTGTCTGTGATTCATCAGTCTTATACAATTCACAGCGCTCACCATAGCACATACCCTCCCCAATGTCCATCACCCAGCCACCTATCCCTCTCATCCCCCTCCACTCCAGCAACCTCAGTTTGTTTCCTGAGATTAAGAGTCTCTTATGGTTTGTCTCCCTCTCTGGTTTCGTCTTGTTTCATTTTTTCCCTCCCTTCCCCTATGATCCTCTGTCTTGTTTCTCAAATTCCTCATATCAGTGAAATCATATGATACTTGTCTTTCTCTGATTGACTTATTTCACTTAGCATAAACCCTCTAGTTCCATCCACATCATTGCAAATGGCAAGATTTCATTTTTTTGATGGCTGCATAATATTCCATTGTGTGTGTGTGTGTGTGTGTGTGTGTGTGTGTGTTTATAGGACCACAGCAGACCCATTGCTCAATTTCAGGAGATTAACATATTTAGACGATTGAATGTTCCAACCCATAAACATTCTTCAATTTACATAGGTCAACTTTCTCTCAAGTAGGAGGAAATTGATATTTTTAAAAATATTGTAATAGTGTGTTTCCTAAATATTTGTCATTGGCATGTCAAAATACAATGAATTTTTTGCATGTTGACCTTGTACTAAATAATCTTGCTAAACTTAAAGAATGCATATATAATAAGTTATTGTGTAGATTAGTTTATGTACAAAATCATTTCTTTGAATACTAATTTTATTTCTTCCTTTTTGTATATCATTCCTTTATTTTTATTTATTGTGCTGGTTAGATCATCAGTGCATTATTGAATAGAAAGGGTGTACCCTGCAAGTGTTCTTGGGTTCTTGAAGGAAAGCTTTGTGTATGGTTATTAGGTCTTTCTTAAATGTTTGGTATAATTCTCAGTAGGACCCTTGAATCATATTCTTAGGAAAGTTTTTAATTTTGGATTTTTAAAATAATTGCTAGAGAATTCAGATTTTGTCCTTATGTGAGCTTTGATTATTTGTATGGATGGTTTATACATATTTTGGGAATTTTCTACTTAAATGTATTGGAAAAAAACTGTTATAATAACTTCTTGTATTAATCTAAACTCTATAGGTTTTGCAGTTGTCTTCCTTTTTCTTCCAGATATTTGTAACTGGTATCTTGTCTTTTTTATGAGTCTTATGAGTGGTTTACTAATGTTATTTACTTTTCAGCTTTTTAAATTTTCTTTACCAATACAACTCTGCCTCTTCTTAGGGACATATTTATGTACACACTGCTATTTTATCATTTGCATGAGAACAGCCCTTGGTTTCCTAGATTTTCATTGCTACAAAGATATTATCACTGTATTTTTGTAATAAAACAAGGAGAAATTCCTTACTGAAACTTTATTAACTCACATAACATATTCCTTACAACTGAAAAATTTGCCTTAAAGATAATTTTTAATAAAATTTGCATGCTTTGACCTAAATGTATATTATTTCCCATAAGCTTTGGCTCAGATTTCCTCCCTTCCTGAGGATAAATTGAAGTCATTTGGTGACAGATGATTATTGGGTTGTATATTTGTCATGACATGTTAAATTATGCTGTGGTAACAAACCTCAAAATCCTAATGGCTTAAAGTAACAGGCCTATTTCTTGGTCATGGTATAGATCCTTTTCTGGTCAGGAGGGGGCTCTGTTGGTTTTACTTACTCAAACCAATGGCCCAGCCATATTTTGAAAGCTATGGTTTACTGAGTAGGTTGAGAAAGGAACTCACTCATATACAAATAAATGATTTGACTCCATAATGACATGCATCACTTCTAATCATAACTAATTGTTCAGACTTTCTCACACATGACCCCATCCGACTAAAGATAAAGTGAAATACTCCCATAAGCTTAGAAGTGAGGAGAACCAAAATTATCTGGTGAACAGCACTAATTAGTTCAAAAGGGTACATTTCTGTTTCCCCCCCCAGAATAGTAGGGGAGGAAGAAAAAGTAATTTTCTCACCAATTAATATTAACTGTTGTCTACGTTTATGAATATTTTTAAGTGTCCCGCATATGGGAGTAAAAGCAAAATGGAAGTTAAAAACCACTGTGTTAGCAGTAATTTTTTCTGTGTCAGAGATATCAGTGATATATATATACTCTTACCTTTGCTTATGTGTTTTTCCTAAATTTTTATAATAAATGCATGTTTGTTTTTTAAAAATAAAGTTAAAACACAAAAGGAGATTAAATTGACAGTGAAATCTAGTGTTCAATTTTTCTGCATACTTCTCCATTTTTCTTTCATCACATCCTGACTTTAATCAATTTGAACCACTGGGGTGTATGTGTAGGGGAGATAGCTTCAAAAGCAATCACTGGTCAAGGCAGACAATAAAAATTCACCATTACATTTCATCCACCATTACACATAAAGAATATTTAAGAAAAGTATTTTGCTCTGTTTCATGTACATGGAAGGCATTTATAATTGAAACGTCATTGATATGAACTCAGGAGAAACATCAATCATAAAAATGTAATTAATTCACAGTAATACTTGAGAAGAAATCAAGATGTTTTGCATGTGAATAGAAATTGAATGTTACCTGCCAACTGCTGTGTAATGAGTGTTAGCCCCATTACAGGCTTATTAAAATTTGGATTTATAGATTGGTCTTCTAATACTGACTGACCTATAAAAAGTAGGCTTTTCACTCACCCAAATGCACATTCTGAGGGATGACTTTGGAGATTGCCACAGTTTTAATATATGAGCCTCCTAAGCAGAGTCTTATTCTGAAATACAGAAACTCAATGCATTAATAGAAAATGATATATCTTTTAAAATATTTTTAATTTAAAAATATAAATTTGTCCCTTCTGCACTTATCTAGTTTTATCCAACTTCTCCATTAACAGTAAATTCTGCACCCCTGTTTCCAAATGTTGGGGTGCCTGGGTGGCTCAGTCAGTTAAACCTCTGCCTTTGGCTCAGGTCATGATCCCAGAGTCCTGGGATTGAGCCCTGCATCAGGATCCCTGCTTAGCAGGGAGTCTGCTTCCTCCTCTGCCCCTCACCCTGCTTGTGCTTGCTCTCTCTTGCTCTCTCTCTCTCTCACTCAAATAAATAAATAAAATTTAAAAAAAAAAGATTTCCAAATATTATTCTAAACTTGGCAAAACCAGCTGGACTTAAAGTCTGTTAAATCAGTCAGTAAGACAGGTCTTAACATCTATTAAGTTCCTTTAGTTATTATTTTGTGGGTGTATGAATCAGAGAGAATTTGAGTTTACTTATAAGACTAAAATTTTTACAGGTGCCTGGGTGGCTCAGTTGGTTGGGCGACTGCCTTTGGTTCAGGTCATGATCCCGGGATCCTGGGATCGAGCCTCACACTGGCCTCCCTCTGCTCTGAGGGTATCCTGCTTCTCCCTCTCCCTCTGCTGCTCCCTCTGTTGTGCTTGCGCTCTTGCTCTCTCTCTGTCAAATAAATACAATCTTTAAAAAAAAAAAACTAAAATTTTTACTGCAGGTTGAGGGTGCATGGACTTTCCCACCCATAGTCTCTATAACGATATCAAATAGATTTGGATTCAAGTCCTCTGGATCTATAACTGACAAGCTATAAAAAGTTATTTAACCTCTTGAAGTCCTGTAAAAGGCAAAATAGCTAATCTCCTTTAACATGAAAATATTAACATAAAATATATAACAATTATCATGGTAGTTAGAATAGACTAAACACTCAATAACTTTTATCTATATACCACAAAAAAAAAATAACCATTTTTATTAAGAGGCTGTAAAATGTTCTGTTGAAGCAAAGAAGATAGGCATATTTTTTCAGTCTGTTAATATTTATCTTGATAAAAGAGCAACACTTAGAAGTCTCAAGTTTCTTTTTCAGAGAAAATGGTTTCCAGTGTATAGCATTAGCTTTTTTTTAAGGTAATAGGATGAAGTTTTGGTTGGCTTTTACCAATCCATTTCTGATGAATAAGGATGTCTGCAACATTTCCCTATTTTAAATCCTATTTATTAAATAACCATACCAATCGCTTATAAAGACATTTGTAAGCCACACTCAAGCAAATGGATGAACTTTGGTTCACACAGAAAAAATTAAAATCCACTACTGACCAGGGCAGACTGGCCCTTACTCAGAATGTTCAAAAATGATTTAGAGTTTCTATAAAAATGCTGTGTTATCCATCTTGCTCATATATCCATTATAATTGTCTCTTTTATTGCACTTGCCCTCCAGAAGTATATTTTTTTTCCTCCTTGACCTGGTTTCTGGTAATTAAATTGAGTTTTCTCTGTATCACTGCACCACTTGAAAGCTTCTAGGATCAGAGCCTCTCAGTAATCCCGCTATTGATTAAATCAAATCGGAGCCTATTTTGCCACCATGTGCTGTTACTGACTGACACAATGGCAATTACCTGTAATAACTGTCAGTAAACTACAATTGGAGGAATCAGAAACTGAAACTATATGGATCTTATACTGCTTAGATTATGATATCCACGGCTTTGCTCAGTTTTCAG